GCACAGACGACACACGAAATCAACTGGAAATCGACGGAAAGGCTGATTGCATATGGTGAAAATACGAGAAAGGAAAATGAGGGGGCATCGATATCCTGACTGAAAGAAATCGAATGAACAGAAGACTGTAAAAAGGCAGCCTTAGTGAAAACTTTGCATATTGCATAAGCAAACTTGGAGAATATCATGGAACAGCAAAAAGAATATGAATTGTGTTCGCCTTATTTCGTTTAAAGTAATGGATAACTGATAGTTGAATTTTCTGACAAGTTTATAAGCACACCTAAGGTTTTACATTAAATTTCACATAGCCTTGCTTTCCCAAAAGGTATTCCCATCCAGGATGGACTGTAGTTTCGACATCGCATAGGTCTTATCAACAGCCCCAGCAGGAGTCGAACCATGACAGTGCAGCGTTCAAGCTCGACACTTTAGCCACTACGCCACACTGCCACAAGTGCCCTCGGGTCACAGGACAGATGTGAATTTTAAGGAAGGCAAGGCATTTTCCATATCACATTCTGTGTTGGGATTGTCGATGAAGCATACTTATATTTGCTATAGCAATCGAAGACATTACTTTTTCTTTATTAAGTAGGTTTTTGAGACTATCAGTAAATCAGTTATATGAGAGATATTCACCCTATTTCATTTAAGGTAATGAAGGACTTGCTAATTTAATCGAAGCTATGAAGACTAAGATGGTGTGGCCTTTTGTGTGGTCCTTGTATAGAAGTTTTTTGACCTTGTTTTCGCAACTTGGTCATATTGGTAGGAAGACTTAGAGGAACGCATCTTGCCAGGAGTCCATTGTATGCGTCATCATTTCCAGAGTAGGACCGTGGACATGGTACATTCTTAGACGTTTCGCCGGCACCGTAGTCGGCATCGTCAGTGAGTCTCGCTATTCGTAGCACCATATTACAACTCGCCAAAGAAACAAGTGAAGCCCATCCTTTGACCAAGCGTGTGCTAAACAGTTATGGTATCTCCCCTTCTGCTCTGGCCCATTCACATTTCCTATATCGTCCTATAATGCCTTCCCTGTCAAAAATTTTTTACCGCACTTATTTTTAATGTAGTGTGGTGTGCTCTTTCGTGCGGCATTCATGAAAACCCTTTCACACTCCACACTGCTAGTTTAATTTTCCCACACCTAATATAATTGATTTACTGGTAGTCTCGACGCGCTACTTATAAACTAGAAATAAGTAATGTAGTAAAATATTATAGCAAACGTAACCTAGCTTAATCTGCAATCACCTCAAAGTATGTGATATCTAAAAATGGCCCTTGGCCTTTCTTGAAATTCATATTTGCTCTGTGGCATAGTGGTTAATATGTAGAGCTTATACACTGCATTGCCATGATTAGACTCCCGATTTGTGTGTTGATAAGACCTATGCAAGGTTGAGACTGCAGTCCATCCTGAATGAGAACACCCTTTGGGAAAGCAAGGCTATGTGAAATTTAATGAAAAGCATTAGCTCTACTCATACATTGTGGGAAAATTCAACTACCAGTCCTTCATCACCTTAAACGAAATGGGGTGAATAAAACTCATATATCTGATTTACTGGAAGTCTCGAAAACCTATCACTCATAGCAAAAAGAAGACGGCTAGATCAAGGAGATATTGTCAAATTGAGGAAAAGAAATCGCATGAAAAGCACAGAGGAACGATGGAGACCAAGACGAGACGTCTACAATAAGCCTAATAAAAGTAAGTTCAACAACCATAACATTTGGGATTTGGAACAAAAATGCTAAGGCATACACTTGGCATAATGGATAGAAGAGCGAGAGATGTGGCGGAGAACATAGGGGGTTGGCAATTAGTAGATGATATTGAGCATAGACGTAGTCGGTCCGATGCATGGGCCGAATAATGATAAGGGAACCTGCAGCATTAAGCTAGGTTTCAATTTCACTTGAGAATCCAGATTTTAGGGCTTGCTCAATGAGGGTGGCGTATAAGTGCCATCAAAGGCTTGAGGCAGAGTGTAGAGCATCTCGAGTAGCATGGATATAGTGGCATTGATCAAGACAAATTACTGAATCTGGTGGATAAGAGACAGATCCTACGGAGCAAAAGAGAGACTCTAATAGGATCAGGAAAAAGAGAATTGCAGAGAAACGGCAGTCTTGGATAAACACTCCTAGCACAGTGATCGGGAAAGGGGAACCAGTGGTGATAGTGAATCGAGCTCACCAACTCCGCTCAAAAAAGGGACACCTCAATCAGGTTTGTACAAGCAATTAAACAATTGTGATTGTGAAGAATGTTACAAGAATATAGGAAAGATGAATACACCAGGACAGAGGGAGAGGGACCGCAAATGTTTGGCATAAAATTGGTCAAAGTATTGACTTCACTTTGACGAGTTGTGGTGTGGTGCTAGGACTGACAAGACTCACTGACGATACCGATTACGATGCCGGCGAAATCTACCATGGTCTGACTCTGGAAATGATCATGCATGCTATGGACTGCGGACGAAGTTAGTTCATCTAGGTCTTCTTGCCAATATGACCAAGTTGCAAAAACAAGGTCAAACGAGTTTTGCACGCAAAGTAAATCTGTTTAAAAGCAAATGGTGACAAGTGGACGCATAATCTCACATGAAAAACTGAATGCATACAGTCATAATCAGCTGGCACGACAGTAAAATGAGAGAGTTGACTATGGCTAAAGAGATCTGGAAGCAACCCTAATTTTATGAAATCAGGTTACTTTGCATAAAGTGATATCGGATTTTATCTAAGGATAAAAATCAATCTGGCTTCAGCACAATATAAACTGTTAGAGCGTATTGTGAGAGAGCCTCTAAAGAAATCGTTCAACAATAGCAACGAGCCAGCGCTAGTAGCACCAAGCCTCAAATGGCGATATTTAGACAAAAATAATGAAAAGAATTAAGAAAATTTTTTTTTAGAATCAGGCTTTCGAGACAAGTAGTAGATCTTATATATGAGAGGCAATCACCATTTTTTTGTTTAAGGTGATGAGGGGCTGGCAGCTTAATTTACACATATGAGTGGGCCTCATGCTTGTGTTAAATTTCCCATAATCTTGCCTCCCAAAAGATATTCTCACCCAGGCTGGAGAGGACTGCGGTTTCGACCTTGCCTTGGTCCCATCAACGGCCGGGACTCGAACTCTGGTTGCTGTAATGCAGCTAATAGTCGCATCACGTTAACAACTACGCCAAACTGACACAAGTGCCTTTGGGTCATAGAGTGGAAGTGAATTTCAGAGAAACCTATGCCAGAGTTCGAGTCCTGATGGGGTTGCTGATGAGGCCCAGGCGAAGCAAAATCTGCACTCCATCCTGCATGGAAATATCTTTTGTGAAGTAAGGCTATGTGAAATTCAATTAAAGCATGAGTCTTACTTAAATCATTGAGAGAAAATTAAATTACCACCTTAAACGAAATGGGGTGAATATTGCTCCTATATGAAATTTAGATCATGTCCGCACGAAAATGACTTTACACATAGTACGAGAAATGTTTATACGAAACCAGAATTAATAAAGCAGTAACCTTCATCAACTCCACGCAAGTTCTTTACAAAGTCCTCTCTGGTCATCTTTGCGTTCGGTCGAATGTTGGAATTGTAGGCGTCCGTATGTAGCATCATGATAGCGTAAGCCAATATCATAACGGTATCAGGACTACGGAAATTAGAATGTGATCGGGCACAGTTCTGTTCGACATAAGCAGCCTGGAACTCATTCAAAAGATGTACGATTTTCTGAGACTCGCCCTGTTTAAAGAAAAACAATACAAGCAAAAAAGAGTTAAAAGTAGCGAGGAGGCAAATGAGGTAATTTATTCAATTTGAGTAAGTTTCGATAGCACAATTCATAATGATGTTCATGGTCAGGCAAGTTCGTGAAATCAAAATAATTGGATCAAAGTATAAAGATAAATTAATAAAGAAATCTTTGTTGCAGATAGTTAGGGCAGATACGACATCCGAATCAAGACTGGGCTTTAGCAAATCGCATGCACGAGGATTATCTATTGAAAATGCAACAAGATATCTAAAATAAAACTATATTTCAAAAATATGTAAGTATAGTAACTAATGGCTTACCTTTACTCTTAAACACAAGTTATTGTCAGATATAACTTCAATGTTATTAGAAAGCAATAAAATGAAGCCAAATCAAAAATGCATGTTTACCTACTAGATGGATTCAATAAATTTAAATAAGCCTTTCCGGCCTGCCAAAGTGAATTGCGCCTGGATCCCTCCCGTTGTCTATCAACAGTGTCCTATCTATCAACCAGAAATCTAGGTTCGATTCCTTTTGGGAGTGATGAATGTAACTGGGAAAAGTCAAGCTCTAGAACCGCTCTAGTTGCAAAACCACATTTAGGATAAACAAAAGATCTAATTCGGTGGAAAAGCGAGTCTTATTTTTACATTGTCGGCAAGTGAGTAACCACACCTTAATAAATGAAGAATGCTGCATTCTCGCGCTTGTGGAAAAGATAGTATTTCTAATAGACTTACCAAATTGAGCAGTCTGAAACCGCACCTAGACCAGCAAAACAATAGGTTTCTACAGGAAAGCTTCGCCTTAGCAAATATTTTCAGAAAAGGAGCCCCAAACTTGTAGGAACAATGACATATAACAAGCTAACGTAGGTATAGGGATCCCAGACAAAATGTGAGGAAAACACTATCTCTATCAAATGCCTAGAAGTCATTGTAAGTCTCAGACTCTGGAAGCCAGTTTTTTAACAGATATATATATATATATATACATATATATCGCAGGACGCTGTTATAGAATAACGAAGGCTGAACTAACGAGTCAATCTCACACACCTGCCAGACGAAATTCGAAACACCTTTCTTGGCTCCAATGATTTAGTAGAAGCAAGTTTGGGGTAGTTGCAGTGAGTAGGCTTGCACTTTAATGATTTTTGCGCTTGTTCAAGTTGGTAGCAATGAACACAGGGAGTAGAACTTATTTACAATTCCGAATGCCATATACTTTGTTTGGCATAAGATTAGATACATTATTTATCACCAGATCCAATCAAGCAAATGCGTTTAATCCAGCACTCGTAAGCGTGAACATAGGCAAAGGCAATTAAGGGTATTTAAAAGAATAAAGAAGGACAGGTGAACAAATAAAGATAATAATATTATGAAAAAGTTTATTAGATAGTTATTATTTAT